TATAGTTGATTTAAAATGTTATGACATTTGACAGCTGTCAAAGATAAACAAACAGCTGTTGTTTTTTTTTTTTCAATTAATTTGATAGAAATTTAATTGCAACAAATGTTGGAAAATTGGAAATGTTCGATTCTTTTCTTATAGAAAAAGAACAAAAAATATATAAAACTAACAAGCAAGAATAGAATCGAGGAAAATTTTGTATACAAAAGAGAAGACTTTTTGAATCATTTTTATAAAAAGGAAATTTATGGAAAAATTTATTTAAAAAGACAAATTTTAGAAAGAGAAAATTGCAAAAATTCTGCATAAAAAATCAGAAAAATTTTTAAATTTTTATAATAATTTTGTTTAAAAAAGTCTATAATTTGAAAATTTTCTTTAAAAAAGAAAACATTCTAAAAATTTTCTATAAAAACATAGCATTTCAAAGATGTTCTTTAAAAAGAGAAAATTTTCTAAAAATTTTTACTAAAAGTGAAATTTTTGGCGAAATTTTTTTTATAAAAATTTAAAAATTTCAAAAATTTTCTATAAAAAGAGTAAATTTCGAAAGATTTTCTATAAAAAGAGACATTTTCGAAAGATGTTCTGTTGAAAGAGAAATCTTCGAAAGATACAATTTCGAACTATTTTCTATAAAAATAATAAATTTAGAAAATTTTCTATAAAAAGAGATATTTTGAAAGAGATATCATCGAAAAATACAATTTGGAATTATTTTCTATAAAAAGAAATATTTTCAAAGATTTTAAAAAGAGACATTTTCGAAAGATTTTCTGTAAAATGAGACATTTTCGAAAGATGTTCTATTGAAAGAGATATCTTCGAAAGATACAACTATTTTCTATAAAAAGAAATATCTTCGAAAGATTTTCTATAAAAAATGAAATTCGAAAGATGTTCTATTGAAAGAGATATCTTTCGAAGATATATTTTCGAACTATTTTTATAAAAAGTAATATTTTCGAAAGATTATATAAAGATTTTCTGTAAGAAGAGATATTATCGAAAGATTTTCTGTAAGATAAGACATTTTCAAAAGATGTTCTATTGAGAGTGATATCTTCGAAAGATATATTTCAGCACTATTTTGTATAAAAAGAAAATTTTTTGAAAGATTTTCTATAAAAAGAGATTTTTTGAAAGGTTTTCTATAGAAATAGATATTTTCGAAAGATTTTCCCATAATTGAGACATTTTTAAAAGATGTTCTAACAAAAGAGACTTTTTCGAAAGATTTTCTATAAAAAGGAATACTTTCGAAATATTTTCTATAAAAAGAGATATTTCCGAAAGATTTTCTATAGTTAATTAGTTTGAAAAGAGGATGTAACAGGTGACATTTGTGTAGTAAACAGAACTGACATTAGGGGCCTCGCAAAATCTATAGCATTTTCTGATAGGAGGATTACTTTTGCGCCACCTGTTATATACATCAAATCCGCTCCTTAACCCGCCACCTTCGGTCTACCAGACTAGAACACTTATCACTAACCTACCGGAGGTCAAAAGATATATTTTCGAAAGATCTTCTGTTAGATAAAACATTTTTGCAAGATTTTCCAATAAAAGGTATCTTTTCGAAAGATGTGCTATCAAATGAGACATTTTCGACGGATGTTCTATAAAAGAAAATGTTTAAAAAGTTTTTCTATAATAAGAAATATCTTTAAAAGAGATATTTTCAAAATGTTTTCTATAGGAAAATATCTTCGAAAGACTTTTAGAAGAGACATTTTCGAACAATTTTGTATCAAAAAGAGTCATTTTCAAAAGCATTTCTATATACAGAGTTGATTTTGAAAGCGACACTATCGAAAAAAGAGACATTTTTAATATAATTACCCTACAAAGAGACATTTTCGATAGATTTTCTATAAAAAAGTGAAATTTTCAAAAGATTTTCCATAAAAAGAAAAATTTCTAAAAGATTTTCTATAAAAAAAGATATTTTCAAAAGATTTTCTATAGATAGTTTTTTCAAAGATTTTCTATAGAAAGAGATATTTTCGAGAAGTTTTCTTTAAAAATTATTTTTTTCGAACATCTATCTGTAAAGTAAGGAAATTGTCGAAAATTTCTTTAAAAAGAAAAATTTTCTAAACGAGTTTTTCCAGCCTTAAAATTTTACAAAATCCATTTCTTTACAATTTCCATGTACTTTAAAAATAACTCTGCAAATTCTTTTTGTTAAATGAAAACATTACATTTAACAAATTGCAAAAATACCACCTACAATAAAATACAAAAGAAGAAAAAAAAAAACCTTGACATTGCATGGGTAAATATTTATAACATACAAGTTCTTGTAACATGCACTTTAGCAAATAATTGTTGGTGTCACTATTTTAACCTTTAAAATAGAAAATAAAAACAAACAAAAAGAAAATACTGCAAATTTGCAGGAAAATAGTAGTAAAATGTTATTGAACTTCTTAATATTCTATGAGAAAATAACTTAAAGTATACAGCGCCCTCTATAAACAAAACACCCGCATACAAAATAAACAGAAACAGGACATGCGCCTTGATAAGAAGTAGCAAACAAAAGTAAACAAACAATTAAAGAGTAGAAAAGGATAGAGAGAGAGTTTATACTTGTCAGAGTATAGCATGAAAGGATTTTCAAGTTTGACAGAAAAATAGTAGTATTTTTACTAGTTATCGTTAAACATCTAAATAAAATTTTATATTTTATAGAAAAAATAAAAAAAACTTTAAACAAAATTAAAGAAAATTAAAAAAAAAAATAATTAAGAAAAAATGTAGTTTTATGTAAAAAAATTAAAATAAATTTAATTTGAAAAAAATTTAAGAAAAGATTCAAAGTAAATGCCAAATAGTTGTATGTGAAAAAAATCAATAGTGTTGGTAGTATTAAAAAGGCTCTATAGCATACTTTTTGGGTTGCTTTCCTTGGGGCTAGACAGTAGTTTAAGGTATCTAGTGTAAATGTATATATAAGTGCGGGTTTATGTATATTTGTGTATGTGTGTGAGTGTCTAATAAAAGGTGTGTGTATTTTTGGAGAAGAAAAAGAAAAAAAAACATGTGAAATTTGTTTGTATTACCATAAATATCTTAGATAAAATTATTACAATCACTTAGTAGTCCCATAAAAATGGTTTTTTGTTTGTGAAAATATTTTAATTAAATGGTTTCTTATCAGCATTTAGTTGTATTTTTATTAGAATAAAATAGAGTTTAGTAGGAAAATGTATGTACATATATGTATATCAAACTATAGTTACCCTACACTACAGTCTTAAACATTGAGGGAGTCGGCTGTAAGGGCAACAGGATGAAAATAAAACATTAAGGACTTTTTCTGTTATTGTTGGATTAATAGATAATGTAGAATTTTATAGAAATTTTTCTAAAAGAATTTTTCTTAAAAACATACTTTAAAAAAATTTTGAAAAATTTTCTAGAAATTGTTTAAAAATTTCAAATAGTGAGCCCAGTCAATATGCCTCTCAATCTTTAACTATTTCGGAATAGTATTATCAAATATGGTCTCCTTTTAGTCTAATATCCACAATTTATTTAAAGTTCTCCTTATTAAGTTAAGCTTATAAAAAAGTTATTTTTAATGAATTCGATTTCTTTAATTTTCGTATAGGTTTTCTAAAATTTCTATTCTTTTTAGTCCGATATTGACAGCTTTTTAGAAGCTATTTCAAAAAGTTACATTTCATACCTTTATTAGGGAATTACTAGCTAGACTTTCATATCTGGTTAAACTTTATTCTGAATTTACTTGAAACTATTAAAAGTTTAAATCTCCAATTGGTTTTACTAGTCAAAGTGTATAACTAATCGAGCTAAAAGCTCAAATTCTCTTATATATAACACCCTGAACTCTGCACCAATACTTCTGTAGAACTCGATCTATCCAATATCTACACTATATAGGTCCACAACTAAAGAATCACTAACTGACTACTAATAGTGCTTCAGCGAACTTCCAACGATTATATAAGGCCGCAACAAGTTAGATTGTGATGGAATCTAACAAATACTTTTGTAGAACTCGATCTACTTATCTTATCTCTGTACCATACAGGTCCACAACTGATGAGGCACTAACTTACTACTAACAGTGCTTTAGTGAACCTTCGACAATCATAATAGGCTGCAATAAATTAGGTTGTGATGGAATCTAACTTGTTGAGGCCCGTTTTAAATTGTAGAGTATTGAAATTCGTATGGGAGCCAGAAACCGATTTTAACATGATCCACATTTCCCAGATGATATTTATTAGTTAATTCGAAATATGCTAATAATCCCAACTAAATAATATCAGTCAATGGCCATAATGTCCTCCGAAATCAAACCTTCAAACCTCAAACTTTTTAATTGTAGGTTCCACTGCCCCACAACGAAGAGGCACTGACCTACTACTAACAGTGTTTCAGCTAACCTTCACGATTTGGGTTTCTACCAAATCTGTCACGATACCTAGGGCAGCAGGTTCCATTAGCAAGATATAGGAACTCTAACCAACAGTCAGCTAAGAACTCCTTTAGTTTTAGATACAGAGAAACATCTCTTTACACCAGAACAACAATAACATCAAGAATAAGGAAATTTGCCGAGAATAATTGTCCCTAGAGGACCAAAGTTTCCATTGAATAAACATTATATCCAACTTCATTCCAAATTTTTAGAGAATGTTTTTACAAACATAGAGTTTTTTTTGGAAATTCAAAGAAAAAATATATTCCTTGCCGTTTCGGAACAACGACTTCAAAACATTAATATAATACCCCTCTCGTCACCATCATATCAACATATTCGAAAGATGAATTATTCCAAAAAAAAAAAAAATTAAATCGATATTTAAAAATTATGCCATCTTATATATACACATATAAATAAAATAAACCATAAGTCATAGTCCGCACACAAAATTCCCTTATCTATACTTCTAACCTCAAAAAACAAAAACACTACAAATTTCTAAACACCCTCTCTTCTTTTTACCCCCTTCCAGGTCATTACACCCCAAAGGCATGGTGATGTTTATATCTACAATATACCACAACAATATCAACAACAGTCACATTCACAACAACATTTATCGGCACCAGCAGCAACAGCAGCCGCCTGCCATCAACAAATCTATCAAAATCTTCCAGGAAAATCAACATCCACAACAATAAATAACGAATTTGAAACATACGATATACCAAAACCAGCTGTACCCGTTAACTACGATTCACCACGTAATCTACAGCGTAATATGGCTCATTTACAGGCAGCAGCAATGAAAAATTGTTCCACACCCATTCAAGAGGAAAACTATGATGTACCAAGACCTTTAACATCACTGCTGCAACATCAACATACTCTAACACCGAGTAGTTCGAATTCATCGCTATTGACTAGTGATAGTCTGTCGTTGTCTTTTTCGTCCTCAAATCGTTCTTCTTTGGCTAATATGCCTGATTATGATATACCCAGACGTAATCCTTTGCCGGTTAGGGCGGTGTTGCAACAACAACAACAGCAGCAACAACAACAACAGCAAACGAGACCTTTGTCCAGAGCTTCCATTAATGGTAATTGTTCAACGTATGATTTTCCTTTGCCCACAAATGGCATGGACAAATCTAATTTTATGATGAGCCAGAATCAGGGTATAACTAGCACCAAAGAGTTGCCATTGGAATTGACATCAGCGTTGGAAACGTTGGCTAAGCTACAATCGGAGACAACAACTGCTATAACTAGGTAAGTTGGGATTTAATAATCTAGTCTAGTTTACTTTCATAGTCTAGTCTATAGTTTAGTCCATAGTCTAGTCTATAGTCTAGTCTATAGTCTAGTCTATAGTCTAGTCTATAGTCTAGTCTATAGTCTAGTCTATAGTCTAGTCTATAGTCTAGTCTATAGTCTAGTCTATAGTCTAGTCTATAGTCTAGTCTATAGTCTCGTCTATAGTCTAGTCTATAGTCTCGTCTATAGTCTAGTCTATAGTCTAGTCTATAGTCTAGTCTATAGTCTCGTCATAGTCCAGTCTATAGTCTAGTCTATAGTCTAGTCTAGTCTAGTCTATAGTCTATAGTCTAGTCTATAGTCCTAGTCTATAGTCTAGTCTATAGTCTAGTCTATAGTCTAGTATATAGTCTAGTCTATAGTCTAGTCTATAGTCTAGTCTATAGTCTAGTCTATAGTCTAGTCTATAGTCTAGTCTATAGTCTAGTCTATTAGTCTAGTCTATAGGTCTAGTCTATAGTCTAGTCTATAGTCTAGTCTATAGTCTAGTCTATAGTCTAGTCTAGTCTAGTCTAGTCTATAGTCTAGTCTAGTCTATAGTCTAGTCTAGTCTATAGTCTAGTCTAGTCTATAGTCAGTCTAGTCTAGTCTATAGTCTAGTCTATAGTCTAGTCTATAGTCTAGTCTATAGTTCTAGTCTATAGTCTAGTCTATAGTCTATAGTCTAGTCTATAGTCTAGTCTAGTCATAGTCTAGTCTATAGTCTAGTCTATAGTCTAGTCTATAGTCTAGTCCTATAGTCTAGTCTATAGTCTAGTCTATAGTCTAGTCTATAGTCTAGTCTATATAGTCTAGTCTATAGTCTAGTCTATAGTCTAGTCTATAGTCTAGTCTATAGTCTAGTCTATAGTCTAGTCTATAGTCTAGTCTATAGTCTAGTCTAGTCTATAGTCTAGTCTATAGTCTAGTCTATAGTCTAGTCTATAGTCTAGTCTATAGTCTAGTCTAGTCTAGTCTATAGTCTAGTCTATAGTCTAGTCTATAGTCTAGTCTATAGTCTAGTCTATAGTCTAGTCTATAGTCTAGTCTATAGTCTAGTCTATAGTCTAGTCTATAGTCTAGTCTATAGTCTAGTCTATAGTCTAGTCTATAGTCTAGTCTATAGTCTAGTCTATAGTCTAGTCTATCTAGTCGTCTAGTCTATAGTCTAGTCTATAGTCTAGTCTATAGTCTAGTCTAGTCTAGTCTATAGTCTAGTCTATAGTCTAGTCTATAGTCTAGTCTATAGTCTAGTCTATAGTCTAGTCTATAGTCTAGTCTATAGTCTAGTCTATAGTCTAGTCTATTATCTTAGTCTAGTCTATAGTCTAGTCTATAGTCTAGTCTATAGTCTAGTCTATGTCTAGTCTATAGTCTAGTCTATAGTCTAGTCTATAGTCTAGTCTATAGTCTAGTCTATAGTCTAGTCTATAGTCTAGTCTATAGTCTAGTCTATAGTCTAGTCTATAGTCTAGTCTATAGTCCTATGTCTATAGTCTAGTCTATAGTCTAGTCTATAGTCTAGTCTATAGTCCTAGTCTATAGTCTAGTCTATAGTCTAGTCTATAGTCTAGTCTATAGTCTAGTCTATAGTCTAGTCTATAGTCCTAGTCTATAGTCTAGTCTATAGTCTAGTCTATAGTCTAGTCTATAGTCTAGTCTATAGTCTAGTCTAGTAGTCCTAGTCTATAGTCTAGTCTAGTCTAGCTCTTAGTCTAGTCTATAGTCTAGTCATAGTCTAGTCTAGTCTAGTCTATAGTCTAGTCTATAGTCTAGTCTATAGTCTAGTCTATAGTCTAGTCTATAGTCTAGTCTATAGTCTAGTCTATAGTCTAGTCTATAGTCTAGTCTATAGTCTAGTCTATAGTCTAGTCTATAGTCTAGTCTATAGTCTAGTCTATAGTCTAGTCTATAGTCTAGTCTATAGTCTAGTCTATAGTCTAGTCTAGTCTAGTCTATAGTCTAGTCTATAGTCTAGTCTATAGTCTAGTCTATAGTCTAGTCTATAGTCTAGTCTATAGTCTAGTCTATAGTCTAGTCTATAGTCTAGTCTATAGTCTAGTCTATAGTCTAGTCTATAGTCTAGTCTATAGTCTAGTCTATAGTCTAGTCTATAGTCTAGTCTATAGTCTAGTCTATAGTCTAGTCTATAGTCTAGTCTATAGTCTAGTCTATAGTCTAGTCTATAGTCTAGTCTATAGTCTAGTCTATAGTCTAGTCTATAGTCTAGTCTATAGTCTAGTCTATAGTCTAGTCTATAGTCTAGTCTATAGTCTAGTCTATAGTCTAGTCTATAGTCTAGTCTAGTCTAGTCTATAGTCTAGTCTATAGTCTAGTCTATAGTCTAGTTTATAGCCTACTTAACCCATTCTAATTACACCAAATTTTTAACAACCCCTTCACCTCTCTTCTCTCTTCTCAGACTCCTAGCATTTGTATCACCCGATTGGCGCAGCCGTGACAAATTAGAACCCGTACTAATGGAAGTAAAACTAGCTGCTGTTCGCTTACGTACAGCTCTACATGATCTTGCTGAATTTGGAGAAGGAGCTCTGGGTAATGCTTCCAAATCAGAAGATCGTACTCTAGCACAAAAACTTAAACCCATTATCAGAGCCTTAAGAGATGCCAATAAATTAGTGCATGATTCGTGTGAAGTATTAGAGGCTAATGGCGGATGGTCTTTAGAACATTTGGTACGCACAGATGATAAGTCCTTGTGTAAACCACCCGATAGTTTAGATCGTTTAATAGCCTGTGCTCAAACATTAACCGAAGATGTACGCTCAACCACCTCGTTCATACATGGCAATGCTTCATTGCTATTTAAGAGACAACTAACAGAAGTGGCCGAAGAAACCGGAACACCGCAATCAACTTCAGTACCCCAAACACCCACAGGATTGGATCGTAATTCCTCAGAATGGTTAGAGGATTATGATTATGTTTCATTTGAGTCTAAAGATGCGGCGGCACGTAAGAATTCGGTACTAAGGGAAGCCATACCTGAGAACCTTAAGAACAAGTTTGATACTGTGCTCAAGGCAGCTGAGAACACGGTCATAACCACCGCCAATGCAGCCACTACACCAAATGGCAAAAAACCACAAATGGAATTGACAGACAAGGATAAAATGCTGGTGCGCTATTATGCTGTACAAATTACCACCCATATGGGTAATCTAAGTCAAGCCATTGATTCTTTTCTCGAGACAGTGGAGAAAAATCAACCACCCAAATTCTTTATAGCCTATGGCAAATTTGTAGTGGTCAGTGCCCATAATCTAGTGACCATAGGCGATATAGTGCATCGTAATGTTTCCAAACAAGATTTGAAAGAGAAAATCTTACGTTGTACCAATAACTTGGCGGAAGCTTTAAAGACCTGTGTATTGAAATCTAAACAAGCAGCCGCTCATTTTCCCAGTGTCACTGCCGTTCAAGAAATGGTCGATTCTGTGGTCGATATCAGTCATTTAGCGTCCGATTTGAAAACGGTTATGTTGCATGCAGTACAGTTGACTATATAATTGAAAATAGAGTGAAAAAGAAAAAGATTCGTGTAGAGACTTTAAAAAAGTCTTCCAGCTATTTAGAATTAGAAAAAAAAGCTTTTTCAAAAGTTTTCTTTTTTTCGTTATTTTTCGCAATGAACTTTTTACTACCGAAAAGGATGAAGTTTATACAGGTCTGAAGGTTCCATTAAAAGTATCTGGTGGTAACAAAATTCATATAATAAAATTAAATTTATACTTATATAGTCTGAAATCAGCGTATCGTTCCTTATTAAATAAATCATTAAAGAAAAAAACAAATACCAGCAAATTTATACAAAAAAAAAAATAAAACAGTAAAAAAGAAATTATTTCTTAAAACAAGGCAAAATATTTAAACAAAATATCAATAATTTAAATTTTAATTTGTGATATAAAACGACGAAAAAATTTAATTTAAAATAATACTGGGTTTAATTTGTTATCATGGGAAAGAGGAAAAGCTTAAGGGATCTTGAATGAAAAAATTATACAAAATTTGCTAATGAGTTAAAAGAGATTTGTAAGTCCAAACTAAAATTAAAGCTTTTTTGTTTTAATCACAGTGGTCGGCAGAAAGAGTACCAAAAAAACTAGCAGAGATCTGATCTTAATTACACAATCGTTATCTAATATTAAAAGCTCAAAGGCTTAAAAAAAGAAGAGACACTAAGCTTTATGTTAATGAGTTAAGAGAGAACTGTGAGTCCAAACTAAAATTAAAGCTTTTTCGCTTCAATGGGCAGAAGGAGAATCAAAAATTAACATTTACAACTAGCTGAGTTCTCATCTTAAATACAAAATCGTTATCTGAAAGCTTAAAGGCTTAAAAAAGAAGAGGCATTGAGCTTTCTGTTAATTAGTTAAGAGAGAACTGTGAGTCCAATCTAAAATGAAAGCTTTTTTGTTTCAAACACAATGGTCGGCAGAAAGAGTATCAAAATGAACTTTTGTAACGAGCTAAGATCTCATCTAAATTGCACAATCGTTATCTAATATTGAAAGCTTAAAAAGGAAGAGAAATTAAGCTTTATTTTAATAAGTTAAGAGAGAACTGTGAATCCAGACTAAAACAAAAGCGTTTTTGTTTCAAACACAGTGGTCGGCAGAATTGTAACAAGCTGAGATCTCATCTTAATTGTACAATCGTTATCCAATATTGAAAGCTCAAAAGTTTTTAGAAAGGAGAGAAATTAAGCTCCCTGTTTTCAAGCAGTTTCCGAGTATTTTCGCTAAGATTGATTCCTACAGCTCAAGATCTTTATTTGCCTTTTCATTTCCCCAAAACTTTTGTATATAAAAAACAAAACTTCAAAACATATATATTTTATAAAAATCTTTAAACGATCTTTATAATTTTATAATATAATTTTCATTAAATTAAAAACTTAGCTTTTAATAATTTGTAAATAGAACCTAAATTGTAATTAGTTATTTAGTTTCTTTATAGTCAAAACAACAACAACAAATAAAATAATAAAAACGTAATTTAAGCAATATTATAATTATGCTAATTATGGTAATTATTTAATAATTTAAAGTAAATTTATTAAACAATAATTTTAAAGTCTCAAGTACTTAAAACCAACAAAAATATATTGCTTTAAATATTAAATACTTACCTTTTAACTATCAGTTAAGATTCCCCCGATCACAAAAGATCCTACAAATGTTTTCTTTACTTTTTAGTTTTAACACGAAGAATCTTTAAGATTTTTTCTGAAAATAAACAATGTATGTTTATAGATTAGTGTTTATGTATATTTTTATTTAAAATAAATTAATTGTAAATTTTTAAAATAATTATAAATTTAATAAAAAAAAACTGGAAAACCAATATAATTTACTTAATTGCTATATATCCCAAAAAAAAATAAGAAAAAATTATATATATTTAGCATGCCGATATATTGAAGAAATAAATAAAGCGCATTGTAAAGTAGTATTATATAAATACTTACATTATTATAAAAACAAAACAACAAATCGGTGTTTTTATTTTAAAATTATTTTTGGAATGCCTTGAAAAGTAATGGGTTAATAAGCTATTTATTCGCTACTTATGTATATTCAATGGCTATTTAATTCATTATTTTATTAGGGCGATGTCATTAGGGGTAAGTGCACGCTCGCTTATTAATAAGTACTTAAATAAGTCATAACAAATAGGAAGTTAAGAAGTTTTTCTATTTTACGTATTAAAAAACTTGTCTGGTCTTCGTTAGTCTTCGTTAGTGTATTCGTTAAATACACGGTTGTCAGTTCTTACAACATTGGCAGATCTGACAATGTGATGGCAATGTACTGACAATGAAAAATCGTTAGCAACAGGTAAATTGCCAGTTTTGAAGGTTGTAAGAAAATCTTATAATTTTACAATAATAATATGACAGACAATAAATGTGCCTGCCAACAAAAATTGTCAGTTTACACTGTTGTCAGACTTTTGTATGGCAAAAGTTGCCAGATCTTATTTAAGCCTGCCAACAAAAATTGTCAGTTTAGACTGTTGTCAGATTTTTGTATGCAAAAGTTGCCAGATCTTATTTTAGCTGCATATGTTCTTTTAATACACCGTGTTGCCAATGGTTCCAATGTCAGATGCATAAAATTCGCACATCTGACAACAATTCAATTATCAGACAATTATCTGGCAATGGCAACGTTATGTGTTTACTCCATTTCTAGATGTCTGACAATATTGTTTTACAATATACTGGCAAAGCTCTTGCTGACAACGTTGTAGGACAAACATTGTAAGTTCACACATTTTATAAAAACATTTCTGCCAACATTGTAAGAACTGGCAACCGTGTATACATAGCTGTAGTTATTGAAAAGTAAAAGTAGTAAACTCATTACTATGTTATTGCTGGGTAATTGAATCGATATTGGTATATATAGAGCTTTTGAATGATATTTTAATTTCGTCAATTTTCTTTCGGAATATTGTGACTCTACATTTATAAGTGAAATTTGGTTTTGATTCCGACGAAAGACTTTCAATGACAAATAGTGTACCAGCGTTTCATTGTTCTCTTCCAGAGTGTCATGTTAGAATACGTGACATTCATACTAACCTCGGACTTACTCGTCTTAAAGACTTATCTAGAACTTTCTTTTGTGATACTAGGTGGCCGTCTTTAATTCCCTCATACAATCGCATTAGCTCTAACATTACGTAATCATTGACTTAAGGAAATCTGTTATGCTATATGCAGCCTAATACGAACATAAAGAGTTTTCTACCGTCGTTCTGGGAAATATGTTTAGATCTTACGGCCTCATTCCAGTTTATATTTTACATTCGAATTTCCCACATAAAGTCTATAAGGTGATCTTGGACACACGGTGGTAGATGCTGGTTTCAGGGTTTCAAATTAGATTCCAAAGCCTGATTTATTTCCTAGTTTAGAGTGAACTGTGCAACAAGAGATTCCAGCAGTTACTTGCTTTAGTATTCCGTTAATAATTACAATCTTCTAACGAGAATTAACGACTCACATTGTTATGCTTTAGGGCACATCTGACGTTCGTTTATGGACGTCTGAAGTGTTCACTATTCAAAACGTGATCCATAACAGCATAAATCTCAGTTTAGGGTGGACCGTGTAACAAGAAAGTCCTGCGGTAACTTGCTTTAGTATTCCCTTCCGTGATCTATAAAAGCATAAATCTCAATGCCCGTTTTATCTCCTAGTTTAGGGTGGACCGTGTAACAAGAGATTCCAGCAGTTACTTGTTTTAGTATTCCATTCATAATCATAATCTTCTAACGAGGATTGATGCCTCTCATTGTTATGCGCTCGGTTACATCTGACTTTTGTCTATGGACTTCTAAAGTATTCACTATTCATAATATGATTCGTAACAACATAAATCCCAAGGCCCGTTCTATCTTTCAGTTTAGAGTGGACCGTGTAAAAAGAGATTTCAGAAGTAACTTGTTTTAGTATTCCATTCATAGCTACAATCTTCTAACGAGGATCTATGTCTCACATTGTTATTCGATCGAGCACATCTGACTTTTGTTTCTGGACGTCTAAACAGCATAAATACCAAGACCCGTTCTATATCTCAGTCTAGAGTGGAATGTGTAACAAAAGATTGCTGCAGTAACATGCTTTATATTTATACCCATAATCTTCTAACGAGGAAGGATGCCTCACATTGTTATGCGATCGGGCATATTTGATGTTTATTTATGGACGTCTTAGGTGTTTACTATACAAAACACGATCCATAACAGCATAAAGACTATTCTTCTATAGATAAAAGACTTTATATTGTAGGGACAGCCTCATATCTACGATTTTCAAAGCATTAGTTTATGTGGGGCTCATTTATACCCCAAAAATTATGTACGATGATATGGTAGACTTTTTGTCAACATGTTTCAGCAGATAATTTCATTCTTGTGAAAGATTGCTTTCATTCTTCATAAATAACTGCGAGCTTTGGCCATAAGAAGCAATCCCCTAGCCTTCTTTAGAAGCCTACAAAACGTGACTATTCAAAGTAATGTCGACGAAATTCAACTCTGCGATATGCTGAAGGTAAACCATATATTCCTCAGCATGTGGTTGTTCTAGTCACGGAGCGCCTAGTTATCATAAAACTTGTCTAAGAATTAAAAAAAGTTTCAGTTTAAGGTAACCTCAATGTCAATGGGGATTCGTTCTATCGATAGTTGCTAGCGTAGGAGTTTCTTAAAGTAATGTTTTATATGAGCATGCAGCAGATATTGTAGGTCTTCATTCCATATAACTTTTAGCGATAATCCGCTCGAAAGTATTAAGTAGATAAGACCTTAATCGGATGAAAAGCTCGGACTCGGCACCTACTTGCATATTTCCATTATTTTAGAATCATGACTTTATTAAAGTCAGGCAAATTAACTAGTTTATTTAACAGTCAACCTAAAATTTTTCTCAGATATTCTTTATTTTAACATCCCATAATTTGATTATGAGTATGGGTAAAAAAACGGTCTCACACACACACAAAAAACAATGTTCATTTAATAATTACCCTCATAAAAATCATTTACTGTTTCCTTTTCTAGTTATTTCCAATTACAATTGACCATAAACTCAATTAAAGTAGAATGTCTACACAGATCTTAATCAATTTATTGTGAAACCTAAAGAAAAACCCCTCAAAGATAAATGTTAAAAAACTACAACTACTCACTCCTTAAGGATATCAGGATTTTGAGTTTTTATTTTGATGTTTTTCTTATTTTTTATTAAAGAATAAACATGACATTGACTGATAAACTCTGTTATAAGAAGTAAAAACCTTTAAAAAATGACAAACAAAACTACAGGAAGCAAGAAAAATAGGGCCCGTATAAAATACAATTAATTAAAACTATTTTTATCTCCGGGAGATGAAACTGTATTGGCCATTAAGGCAATTGTAGTTGTTTTTAGTTTATTTTTTTTTTCTTTCATATAAATTAAATGACAGATGCATTTCTCAAGATTTTAAATGATTTTCGGTTGATTTGTTTTAGGATTTTAGTTTGTGATCAATCTAATTTAATGGGGATGGTATGCTAAGCATTAAAGAAGGAAGATTTATAATATCCAACATTGTCATAGAATATTTTTTAACGAAATTTTGGAAAATGTTCTTTCTTATAGAATATATTTCAATTTTAGAAAATTTTTTATACAAAATTATGAGATTTTTTTTTTAATGTTTCGAAAAATGTTTAACTAATCCTTGACAACTGAAGGAAACTTCTCCTTTTTTTAACAAAC